TGAGCATTCAGCAGCCCAGCGTGACCTTTGGGGGGCTCTGATAGGAGGTCAGGCCAACGTCAGTTGACCCAGGATATGACCTCACTTCCTTGGCAATGGAGTACGTAGAACTTGGAATCCTGGTCACCAGGTCCCCACATTCTAGAGACAGGCCCTAGGCCAGCTCACTTGAGTGGAGACACTCAAACTGTGAGAATGTTGTCTAGCTGTTTTTCGCGTTCCCCCGAATCCAACCTGGAGAAATCCAGGAAATTGACCCGATCCCAGGGATTGAGACATGGTGTCAGCTCCCACCCCCGAAGGCTCTGGCCATTTTCAAAAAAGAACCAGAAGGTAAGACAGGTGGGGCCGGGCAGGCCAAAGCAGGCTAGACCACCACTGTGACCCCACCTGGTCAGCCCTACACACCTCCCCCACATCATACCAGCCCCCAGGCCATGCCACCCCTTCTCCTTGGGAACGTGGGCTGCCTGCTGGTGAGGGCTAGAAGGGAGAGAGGACAGAACCGATGAGGCAGAAAGTTGTTGGAGGAGGCAGGGTCCGTTTTGGGGACCCAGGTGGGTGGGATCAGGGAAGGATGGTCATGGGATATGGGAAATAGGGGGAGGGATGAGTGGTGAGGAAAATGATGCAAATGGCTCTGCTGCTGCTTCCCAACAGGCACTCATGGGGGGCTCCCCCAGCTCCATTCCCACAGTCCATCACAAGCACTGGGCTCGTGAGTCTGAGGTGGTGGGTGGGCCTGTTCCATCAGGTTGGAATGACACCTTGGGTGGCCCAGGTAGGGACCTGCTTTGTGTCCTTGCCCCAACCCCCTCATCACATAAGACACTGAACCCTAAGTCTCCACCGGGTTCTACAATAATCAGGGGATGATAGTGCTGTCAGTGGTCAGTGGACTTGGCTGGGTTGGATGGTGCATTCCCAGCCAGGTCCCCAGCCCGTGGTGAACACAAGGAACGGTGAGTGCCTCTCAGGGATAGAGAGGGAAGGAGGTGGTTTGGAGGGGCCCTGGATGCCTCCAGGTCATCTTCGGGGCCTTGTTTCCACAGAGTCCCCCTCAGGAGATCTGTGAGGAGGAGAAGGATGGCATCGTCTACAGCGTCTACCCCAAGAAAGGGGCCAGGAAGGGCTGGCGCAGGCTCTGGTGTGTCTGTGGCTCCCAACAAGACCTGGAGGAGGCTGGCCTGGTGCGCAGAGTCAAGGCTGGCAGTCTGGACAAGCTGGTGGAGCACCTGGTCCCTGCCTTCGTGGAGGGGGACCTGGCCTACGTGGAAGCTCTTTCTGGGCACCTACAGAACCTACACCACCACCCAGCACGCCTGCTGTTCAAAAGGTATGGATGTCACTGCGCTCATTCTGCCGGGGACGGCGGACACCAGGACCAGCGGAAAGAAGCCATCTCCTTCATTCTGGGCCGCTGGCTGGATGACTACCCAGAGGATTTCCATCAGGCCCCGGACTTCCCCGCCTCAAGGCAGTACTGGAGTACCTACATAGAAATATGCCCGGCTCAGACCTGGAGCACCGTGTCCAACTTCTCCTGGGCCAGCTAGGTCCCCTGGAGCCCACTGAGGCAGAGCCTGCAGCTCCACAGGCAAGACCAGTTGTAAGGGTAGCCCGAGATACAGCAGGGCCTCCAGAACTAACTCACGGATCACTAGATGATCTTGAACTTCCTAGTGCACCAAATAAAGACCTCCATGGAGCACCAGATCCCCCACCACCAGCACCATCACTGGAAGGTGAGCAAGAGCCAGCTGGAGAGCTGGGAACACTTCCTGGTCCGTCACCAGAAGTGAAGGAAGAACACTGTGGTGATGAGGGTCCACATGCTGAAGCGAAACCAGAGCCCCCAGAGCCCCCCATCCACCATCACCAGTTACATCACTGGAAGCTGACCGAGAGCCAGCCACTGAGCTGGGAAGGATTCCTGGTGCGCCACCAGAGGAGAATCAAGAACCCTCTGGTGATGGGGATCCAGAGGCTGACACAAAATCAGGGCCCCATAGAGCCCCAGATCCAGGACCCCCAGTTCCAGCCCTGGAAGCTGAAAGAGAGTCAGCTGGAGAGCTGGTAATTGTTCGTGGTCAACCACCCGAAATGAATCAAGAAACCTCTGGTGATGTGGATCCACATACTGAAACAAAGTCAGGGCCCCATAGAGCCCCAAATCCACCATCACCAGGTCCATCACTGGAAGATGAAGGAGAGCCAGCTGGAGAGCTGGAAATTTGTCCTGGGCCGTCACCAGAAAGGAATGAAGAACCCTCTGGTGACGTGGATCCAGAGGCTGAAAGAAAATCAGGGTCCCGTTTAGCCCCAGATCCAGCACCACCGGTTCCAGCCCTGGAAGCTGAAAAAGAATCTGCTGGAGAGCTGGAAATTGTTCCCGGTCAACCACCCGAAAAGAATCAAGAACCCTCTGATGATGTGGATCCAGAGGCTGAGACAAAATCAGGGCCCCATAGAGCCCTAGATCCACCATCACCAGCTGGAGAGCTGGAAGTTGTTCCTGGTAATCGACCAGAAGTCAATCAAGAACCCTCTGGTGATGTGGATCCAGAGCGTGAAAGAAAGTCAGTGCCCCAGAGAGCCCCACATTCACTAGCATCAGCTCTATCACTGCAAGCTGAAGGGGAGCCAGCTGGAGAGCTGGAAATTGTTCCTCGCCCACCCACAGAACCTAATGGAGGGGAGAGTGGCAATGTGGGTCCTGATCCAGAAACACCAACAGAGCTCCTGAGTGCACCAGACGCACCGCTCCCAGCGCCATCCCCAGCCCCTGAGGGAGGGCAGTCCGGAGGCCTGGAGACGCTTCCTTGCACGCTGCCCGCAGAAAATCCTGAGCCACCTTCTGATGTCCATCCTGCTCCTCCACTCACCTCGGGGCTCAGGGAAGCACTCCATCCTCCCTCTCCAGATATGGCCGCGGCCCGAGGGGCCGAGCCACGTCCTGCTCCTTCTCCCCAGAAGGTCGTGATCCACAGCGAGGGAGCCTCCGCTCCAGAAGCTGACCCTGCCCTCCCCTCACCCGAGAGGGTGCTTTTTTGGTTTTTCTTCAGTATTCTCGCACACGTTATCCTTTATAGTCTGTACTATTTTAACTGGTAGATGTCTAACTCAATAAAGGTTTCACTTGATAGTTTAAAAAAAAAAAAGACAGTATCCTCCCCAAATACAAGGTCATGAGAAAAGCTCCCTAACGACCATGCTGTGTGTTTTTACATCCCTGAATACCTCACGGGCATGCATGCATGCGCAGACACACACACACACACACACACCGCTTTCCTGGAACTAGGTTTCTATCAACAAACAAGGCACATATAGATCATCTAATGCCAAACCCGGCTTCATGGCTGAAAAGCAGACTCCTCCTGCCCACTGCTTGTACTTCTGCCTCAGGCAGGAGCTGGCCCTGGTGGAAAGACGGGACAGTTCAACCAGGTGCGCTCTGTAGGGGTAAATTTTCCTACGTGCTGAACTCAAGTATCCAACACTTTAAACCACTTAAAAGAACCATTACTTCTTACCTTTTTGCTTCTCATATATGAGAGACGGCCCTCGTGAGCATCAGGGTAAGTGCAAAACAGGTAGGTGGTGATGGCGTGCTTTAAGAAGGAGTCACCAAGCATTTCAAGCCGCTCCAGGTTAAATCCATCACTAGCATTTGAAAGGGTCAAAGCCTGAAGAATAAGCCCAGGATTTGGGCCAAGAGTCCTTGAGGAATACCCAACAGAAGGGCTCTGCTCGGAATCCATCCTGCCCTTGAGCGCGCCAACAGGCCTCCCGGCCACCGCGGGACTTCCATCTGAGGTAGATTTGTTAGCATTCCCGTCAAGGTATTTATTACTCAGTAGAGTACATTCATCGCTGGGCTTGCGCTGGTTCTCGTAATTGTATAAATTCTGAATGGGAACTGAGGTAGTTGGTTGTACAGGTATTTCCTGCTTGTAGTAATTCAGCTGATTTCCTTGGCAAAAGTCTCTGTTAGCTAAATCGTAACTGCCATTGGCAACATTTTTATTGTAAGAGAGACCATTCACTGCTGTCAGATCTGTTGGAACCTCGATGTGGAGCTTCGCGGCCGACTCGCCGAGCAGCGTCCTGCAGGTCACAGACATCTGGTCGTGATGTTCTAGAGGGAAGGCTCTAGTAGCACCGTGCTGTGCAGCATGTTCAGGGACTACAGCTGTGCTGTGCTTACAGTAACTGTCGTTTTCAGCTGGAGAGGAGTTGGAAACTGAGATGAAAGATTTGCTGTCGATAGACTTTTTCCACCCGAAGTCTAAGTTGGGGTATCTGCAAAGACATTTTGAAAACTTTCCATCAGGTCCGTCAAACAGGTGAGGCTCAATGCAAGAGATGTTTGAAGAAAGAAAGAAAAATCCCTATAACTAGACTCCTATTTTAGTGGGGAACATTTCCAAGCCAAAAATCAGCGTGATTTGGAATTCTGCACTACGTGAATTACGAAGTGGGACACCATTTACTGCCCTGCTCTAAGCCTTTGTCCTAAAGCACTGTGCAGTGGTGAGAGCATGGAGCTTGGAGCCACTTGCAGGACTCAGGACCCCAGGTCCTCCAGTGAACCGGCTGGAGAACTTTGGACAATGTACATACGCTCTCTGAGTCACAGGCTCTGCACCTGAAAACGAGGCTCATCACCATTCGCACAGCTGCGCCAAGGACCGCGTGAGTTAACAGAGGCCACAGCATTTACGCCGGCGTTGTCACTGCTGGAGCACTCAATAAATACAGGGGTCGCTATTACTACCGTATTTCAAAGATCCTTCCACCCCTAGGACCACCTTGGGCTTGCCAACCAGATGGCCACTTAACTCTGAGTGGCTACTAAACCATCTCCTTAGAATATAGCAGCCCCTAGAGAGGAGAGAGGAACCAAAGCCAAGACCTTAACAGGGCAACCACTTTTTAACACACATTAGTTTTTTAAAAGAGAAGAGAGTTACAACGTCTGTGCGTTAACAAAGACCAGCCTTCAGTTCCTTTAATCCGTCTGTCCTAGAGAAGGAAGGACTGTTCTTGACTTCAGGAACTCTTGTCCCTTTTGTAACCTGGACAGGATCCGGACCAAATGCTCAGAACAGGCTCTCACTGGGGAGTCAAATGACACACTGACTTCATGTTATAGACATCTATGTTTCTTTTCTACTCTTTTAATAATTTTTTCATACAATTTTAGCTTTATTCAATCCTAGCGTAAATATTCAGCTCTAGCATAAATAGGACTTTAGGACCCATGTTCTTTCTGGACGTTGGCACAGGCCTACCTGAAGTCCGCAGGCAGGGATCTGACTCCCACACCGGCATCGCTGGCCGTCTGGGCTCTCAGCTCCTCTGCAGTCAAAAGGCAGTGAAGGCGGTAAAGGATACTGGGGAGACACACTGCTTTCCTCCACAGCGATGCTGGTACCGGGTGGATGGCACAGAGCTCGGGAACCAGTATCTGTGGTAATGAAAACAGCAGGCAGGCCAATATACATGCACACATACATACACACACACACACACACGCACGCACACACGCACACACGCACGAGTGAAAGAGAAAAATCAAAGACCAATTTACTCATGGATAAAGGAAAAAATCTTAAATAACAGTGATAGCTAATTGTACAAAAATTCTAAAGTAACTTTTGAGACAAATGAGTTTTACCCTCAAAAAAACCAAACTCACTGCCATCAAGTCAGTTCTGACTCACCATGACCTCTTTCAGTTTCCAAGGCAGCAAATCTTTACGGGAGTAGATTGCCCCGTCTTTCTTCTGCAGAGTGGCTGATGGGTTTGAACTGCCAACCTCCTGGTTAGCAGTCAAAAGCCTTAAGCACTGCGCCACCAGAGCTCCTTAAGATTTACCCTAAGCTTTACAAAAATAATTTAGCGATTATATAAAAAACTATCTGCCTCTTGGACACAGACTTCAAATCCCTGGGAGATACTGAGATCCAAAACGAAGTGCACACAGGCATCCCCAGCACAGTCTTCAAAAGAAACATGCTTTGTTTGAAAATTAGAAGATGACCAGGGTGCCGCAGACTTAGTGGCTCGAGAGTTACCAGAAAGACATTCAGATAAGATTCAACACAATGTTGACAACAACAAACCAAGCCAAAGTCTAAGGGCCAAACTTTCAAACATTCACAGCTCACTCGGCTCACCTGATCATACAAACGTCAACTATCTTTAGGAACGTGAAATTCTGCTGGCAGCGCCTTACCTGTTTGTTCTGCAGACTTTCCCACTTGGCTTTCCTCTTCTCAGCACTGCTTAGAGGAAGTGCTTTCCCCTTCTGATTCAGATGGCGGGGTGTCAAAAGGTTAAGTCTATAAAGATTTCAAAATAAGTTTAGTTTTACCAAACAAACAAAAATAAACACACACTCCTACAGTGGTGCTCCAACCTCTGCGAGCTTCCCCCCTCATCTGAAGGACTCCTCTCAACCCAGGCTCTAGAGCCCGCCCCCCGCCCCCGGGCGAGCCGGTGTGCAACCATCTCCGGGATTCCAGAGGGTCCACAGTGGGCAATGGGGACAGTGAACCTTCTACTGTGCCTACTGTCCCCTGGGAAGAACGTCTCAGGTGAGCCTACTGCCGTCTGCAGAGCTCCTTACCTGGAAGATGTGTGGTCCACATCCAGCAGTGGCTGGTTAAGATTGGTCAGGTCAAGGTTGTACTTTGTTTTATAATATTCTGCAAAGGTTTCATACTCAGGGGAAGGAAATTTGCTGAGGGGGGTCAGATCAGTGTACACATCAGCTACGTAGAATCGATGAGGCTGGTCAAAATTGCGGTATCTGAAAAAGAAACACAGCTACAATTCGCTTTACATCAACCACTCCCAAACCACTGCTTCTTTAACATGGAAATGAAAACTCTGATTTTCGAGGAAGTGTTTAAAATATTAAAAATAATGTTAATGAAAAATTCTAAAGAATACATTTTGTGTGGATTTGAGGCAAGGAGAACTATATTTTTATCAAGCGAAAACTGACTATTCTCCCCTCGTATATTATTGTTGTTGTAAGTTATTTGTATTCCACCAACACGAAAGCTACTTGATACCTGTAAATATGTCTTAATCCCATCAGTAGAAACAGTGTAAAACATTTCCAATAGCCAAATAACTGAGTAATGACTGTGTACTTAACACTAAATAGGGAAGACACTTATCACAGTAGCCTGTGTGACTGTCCCATCTACAACAGTGACACTTTAATGATAACTAACATTCAAAATAATGACTGTGAGATAAAAAAATCAACAGAAGTTTGAATCGCAGCCACTATTCTAGTTCTGGGGGAGCAGGGGAGACACACCAAAAAACCAAAATCACTGCCATCAAGTCGGATCAGACTCATGGCGACCCCCCTTTGGGTGTCCAAGGTGGTATCACTACAGAAGTAGATTGCCCAACCTTCCTTCCAAGCAGTGGCTGGTGGGTTTGAAGTGCCAGCCTTCTGGTTAGCAGTTGAATGCCTTAGGCACTACGCCACCAGAGCTCCTATTCTTTGAAAAGCATCTGTATTTAACTCTCTTCCCCAGAAACTCCATTCCCTAAATTTTCACAAGAAAAAAAGCATTCTGATTTCCTACTGTCATTGCACTTAGAAACACTATTCCTTGTAAAGGAGTCTAAGAAATGAAACTATGTATGACCAAATTCTATAAAACTATCTTGCACATTAAAAGGATGATGATTTTAAGAAGAAAACATCAAGGTCACCTGGATAATCTGACCTTCACAGAGGTAAACTGGCTCCCCTGCAGCGTTCAGGGTATGTTTTTTAAGCCCATGAACTAGAGAGAGCAGGTGCAACGGCAAGGCGATGCTTCCGCTTCCCATCAGTAGCACCAATGCCAGCATCACGTGAGTTTACGTTCCCAGGGGAACGAGTGACTCTTTTCAAACGAGGTATCGCCACCACCTTCCTTTCCATTAAAACACCCACCTTGGAATGATAACTGCATCTTGGTAATCTTCTAATTTAAACACAAAGGGTGTCTCTTTTGAATACTTTGTACTGGGAATGCCTGTACGAGCTTCGGATTTCTCAATATCTTCCATGAATTTAAAGTCGATGTCCAAAGTGCTGGAGCCATTAACTTAGGGAAGAGAAAGAACTTGGTTTGTTACAATATAATAATACAGAGAAGAGTGTTCCTCAAGCTGTATGTTCACTTATATGTCTAATTCAGAGCTACCTGGACAAAGGAAGGGGATCTTGTGCTACAGAAAATAAGCGAACAGCCAAGAACGTTTTCATTTTTCAGCTAGCATTAAGGGACACTGAGCTCTGAGTCTTTCTTACCAACATTTAGAGGTAGAACACAGTATGCTGAGTCAGCGTCTGTAGGTTTAAATTCTAGTGCAGGTTTTTCAAGCCGAAGAATATGTGAGAATATATACTGGTGAAGTCTTGTAATCAACTCAAGCATTTGCAGAGACAATGTGAAGCCAGACTTCTTCAGCTCAATAGATATGGTAACCTCTCCAGAGCGTGTGTACACAGGAAAGTGCGGAATCTTAACAAAAAGGGAGAGAGCACCCCCGTGGTTAGCAGGCGGTTCATCCTGGTAGAAGCAGAACTTCAGAAGCGGAACACACTTCCTATCGAGGGGAGCACAGGAGACTTCGATTTTAAAGCACGAAACGTAATGAGGTCACAAAAGGCACCCGACTCCTACATCATTCCCCTTTTTCAGAAACACGGTATCTTAAACCCACGCAGTCAGCCCCCAGCATCTACCTGAGGTATGGGTTTGGCTGTCAGAATCCCGAAGCATCGCGTCGTGTCCTCAGGGGGATAGAGTTTCCGCCTTCTGAAGTTGAGCTCATCAGGTAAAGGAGTGGTGAGAACCATCCCTATCACGTACAGGTAACAGGGCTGATCGGGTTTGGGATAGCTATCCCGCAAACATTCGGGAATCTGCAGTTGGAAAGAAAAGTTAAGGATCAAGCACGAGCCGAAGAGCCTCCTTCCAGGTGGTGGCAAGACACCAAATTTATTCCTGGCTTTCCTGAAAGCTGACACTGTCCATCAAAACGACTCGTTTCACCTCCAGAAGCCCACCTCCTGACCCGACAGATGTCTGTCTCCACCTCCCAGAGTGCCTCCATACTGAGAGGACATCCTTCTGAATGTCCACTTCATCATACAAGTTCTCTTTTGTCTTAGTTCCAATTGTAAGTAAGCCAAGACTCTTACTCCTAAAATGAATGAAACAAACAAATCTCTCTCTGAATTAAATAGGCTTCTGGGTATCTGACGGATGAGTCCCAGGATCCCGGAGGACAACCAGAGCTACACCTGAGGCCGGAAGAGCAGGGCACACACAGGCGTCACGGGGCCCTCGTGAGAGAAGCTGTGAGAGGGTGGGGCCGAGACCCTGCGTGGGTCTGGGGAGCCAAGCAGAGGAACCAGCCTTGATACAGCAGGAAATGAGAAGCTAGGAAAGGCTACAGTTCACCCGTCCTATCAATACGAACTGCTTTTGGGTAGCACTGCCTCCGTTTGGTGGAACCTGGTCTGCCCGGAACACTGGTTTCTTCTTCGTCATGTAAGTCAAGCTCTTCTTCATACCTCACCGTCTCCTTCCCGACCGGCATCAAATGGTCATCCAGTTCACCTAGGAGACACGGCAGGACACACAGTGCAGATGCTGTGTCACTACTAAATAATCCAGAAAAGAGGCAAATGAGGAAGACTACTAAAGCACTTTGCGTCTCCCCTGAACTTTTAGGAATTATGGTAAATATATATAAAGCCTAAGTTTGCCTCTTGAACCACTTTAAGCACAATTCAGTGGCACTAACTCTACTCACAATAGTGTGCAGCCGTCGGCACTGTTTCCAGAACGTTCTCCTCATCCCGGACTCTCCACCCCATTAGATATGAACGCCCAGGCCCCCCTCCGCAGCCCAGGCACCCACTCATCTACTTCTGTTTCTATGCCCTGCCTGCTCCAGGCACTTCCTGTAAGTGGGCACTCTCTGCCTTTGATAATGTGAAAGTAACACATCACTCAGGGCGGTCTATTTTGGCATTCAGATACTCACTACAAGCAGAAGTAAAAACTCCCTCCAAGATTAAAGAATAAAGACATAGAAACAGGAAACAGTACATATTAACACTTCTAAATATAAAGGCAACAAAAATAAGTCTTCCCATTCAAAAGGAAAAAAAGCCTACAGATTAATTTGTAAACTGGTAAAGACAAATTTGAGGGAATGACACAGTAACACACAAACACCCATATCCCACAGTTAAGAGAATACCTTTACGTATTTAAAGAAAGTCAGTGAAGGGAGCAAATGAATTACCGTCACCCACAGTGTGAAGCTGTGGGATTAACCTGCTAGTTTTCAGTATCTTGGTGTCTTTTAGGTGAAAGTTTACACAGCAAATTAGGTTCCCATTTAACAATTTCTATATACCTTATTCCATGACACTGGTCACATTTCTCGTAAGGGATCAACAGTCTCAGTATTTATTTTTCCTTCTGTTTCTGTTAACCTCAGTTCCCTGCCCCCCGTCAGCCTCTCATCTCCACTTTAGGGTAAAGGTCTGTCTGGTCTAATGTAGATGGTAATTTAAGGGAGCACAGCAGCCAAGAGTGACAGTGTTTCTTCTGTAAGCCAGTGTACTGTCTGGACGAAAGGTGGCCACCAGCAGCGGCTTTAGACTTTACTTTGATCTGCATGTGCTTCTCACACACCCTTACCTATTTTGTGCAGTTTTTCACAGCAAATGAGAGCTACAACTCTTTCAGCCAATCGCACACAGCTCATTGGTGGACCCTGAAAGTAAAATGAAAACCACAGTGTGAAAACACACGGCTGGGATTTAGTAACTACCTTAAAACCAAAAATACCAAACCCACTGCCATCGAGTCAATTCAGACTCATAGTGACCCGGGTAGGGTTTCCAAGGCTGTAAATCTTTACAGAAGTAGACTGCCACATCTTCCTCTCATGGAGCAGCTGGGGGGTTCGAACCACCTACCTTTTGCTTAGAGCCCAATGCCTTAACCACTGCACCACCAGAGCTCCTTATAACTACCTTACCACCAGTGTAATATTCAACACCCACAATATCTCTGCCCCAATGTCTTTAAAGGTCCATTTACCAGAACAAAGTTCTTTATTGTGAAAAATACTAGTAAATTTTTAAAAAATCCTAATTTCTTTATCTGAAATATGCATCTTTACAAGTCTTGCCCAGTAAAAAATGGAGTTATAACTAAGCTTTTTATAGTTTTGGTGAATTTAAATTTCAGTAACATTTTAAAGCATTTTACTTTCACTAATCTACAAATACATTGAAAAAAAGCAAAATAAAGATAAGATGAGATGTAACTGTAACCCCAGTAGTACTGAACAACTTTTCACACAAGAGAAATTAGTCACCTTGGAATTATCTGGAAATCAGCATTAGGACCAAGGACAGAGTTACAAAAAGGTAGAATTCTGATTCAATGACAACAGACAGGCCGGCGCAGCCCAGCCATGTCCTCTGTCACTCTCACACCTGGACGCCTCTGGCAGAAATGTTCGCACTGACAAGATCTGGAGGCTACTCCAGAGGCCATCTAGTCCAATTCCAGGTCTCTGAGTTAGTCTACTGAAGATCTGAATGTCCAGTTTACTACTAAAGAAACAGAA